GCCCCCCTTGGGGGAGGCGGATGCGGATGCCGATGCGGATGAAGAGGTGGCGGCCGCGGTGGCGGCGGCGGTGGTTGCCGCCGCGGATGCAGATGCGGGTGCGGTGACCGGCGGAGGCTCTGAGGGGAACCCAGACTTTCCCATGGCCTCGCTGTACGTGGGCGACCTGCACCCTGAGGTGACCGAGGCAATGCTGTATGAGAAGTTCAGCCCAGCCGGGCCCATCCTCTCCATCCGCATTTGCAGGGACAAGATCACCCGCCGCTCATTGGGCTACGCGTATGTCAACTACCAGCAACCGGTGGATGCCAAGCGGGCCCTGGAGACCCTGAACTTTGATGTCATAAAGGGCAGGCCAGTGCGCATCATGTGGTCCCAGAGGGACCCCTCGCTCCGCAAGAGCGGGGTGGGCAACGTCTTCATCAAGAACCTGGGCAAGACCATCGACAACAAGGCGCTGTACAACATCTTCTCGGCGTTCGGCAACATCCTCTCCTGCAAAGTGGCCTGCGACGAAAAGGGGCCCAAGGGCTACGGGTTCGTGCACTTCCAGAAGCAGGAATCTGCCGAGCGGGCCATCGATGCGATGAATGGCATGTTCCTGAACTACCGCAAAATTTTCGTCGGGAGATTCAAGTCGCATAAAGAACGAGAGGCCGAAAGAGGAGCCTGGGCAAGGCAGTCCACCAGTGCTGACGTCAAGGATTTCGAGGAAGACACCGATGAGGAGGCTACCTTGCGATGAAGACATCCCAGGAGCCAGCCAGCCAGCAGAGCCAAACCTTGGCTCCCACCCGGTTTACAACCCCCCCTCCCCCACCTTCCCCAACCCACCAGCAGTGTATTGTATTGGGAGTGCCGGTCTCTCGCTCTCTCTCTCTCTCTCTCTCTCTCTCTCTCTCTCTCTCTCTCTCTCTCCCCCATCCCTCCTTCCCTCCCTCCCTTTCTTTCCTTCTCCCGTCCCTCCTTTCCTCCCCCTTCCCTCCCCTTTCCTCCTCCTCCTCCCTTCCCTCTCCCCCAACCCCCTCTCTGCCTCCCTGTCTCTCTCTCTCCCCAATCCCTACCTTCTCCCTCTTCCTCTCCTCTCCTTACCTTCCTCTCCCCCAGCCCCCACCAAGGGCATTGTGAATAATCTTACTAATTCGTGTCATTTGTAAGTTAAAGGCTGCCCCTTCTCCCTGTGGTTTGGTTTAAAAGGCATTTTCATTCTCTCTTTGTGTACTGCACAGGTGATACAATGTCGTGGTAGAAACATCAGAAAGGAGAAGGAAATCAGATGAGGGAAAGCCAAGAGAGTAATTGCTCCTCATGATCCTACTACCCAGAGAGAACCACTTTTACCTTTTTGGTGTGCTGTTTTTCCAGGCTCTCTTTTCTCACTCTCTCTCTCTTTCCTTTCCTCACCCCCACTCAACTTTCCCTTTTAACACCCTGTTATAGAATTGTTCATGTATGTGATGTTTCTTAACCTGCTTTTTCAGCAATGAAAACCAAACAAAAATCAACCCATTGAACTTCTTTACATGTTATTCAACAGGCTTATGAAACGACATCCTCGGTGCCTGCAGAGTGTTTCCAGAGTATCCATGGACCTTAACATTTCTGTAATCATTCCCGCAATGTTGGACATTCAGGTGGTGCCTAGTTTTTCCCTGTGTTTAAAACCAACACTGCGTGCTCTGATGAGTGAATCTTTCTTTGTCAAGCCAAATCTTTGCTAGCATCCCGGTGGTCTCCTTAACTGTGGACTTGCAGGATCCACATATAGACATTTTAAAGACTTTTCCTGTGTGTTGCCAAAAGGCCCCCTTCACAAGCATTGTACCGATTTGCACTTGTGCTGGCCAGCGCAGCTAGTAAAAAGAGTATGCCCATTTCCCCTGCATAGTCTCTTGGTCACTGTAATTGTGTGAGTGTGTGTGTGTGTGTGTGTGTGTGTGTGTGTGTGTGTGTGTGTGTGTGTGTGTGTGTTTACGCACGCGCGCATGCACGCGCTCTTAGCCAGCTTCATGGACTACAAATGGTATTTCTCAGTCCTTGGTTGTTTTGCTGGAATCAAACACTGTTATAACCCCCTTTCCCTGAATCACACTTCCTGTCTTTTTGCTTGTCGTCAGAAATTAATTGAACTTCATTGCAGGAAAAAAAAATCATGAAGCAGACAAGTTAACAGAAAAAAATTGTCATTAGTAATTATTTCTAATGATTACTCATACATTTCTGAAACATTTTCATCTGTACCTGCCCCGTATTTTTCATGTAATATATATGTGAAATCAATGTATATATTGTTTCAATATCTGCTTTTTCACACAGATATATATTATAGACATAAATGTATAGATAGATATTCTTGAACTTCCTTTCATGTCATTAAATATTCTTCTAAAATAGTTTCCATGGCTGTTTAGTTTCAGTATATGGATAGGGTTTATAGAATGATGAATACATGTATATATATATGTATGTATCTGTGTCCATATTTAGGTGAAGCTATGCGGACATATTTGTTTTAACTACTTCCTCATTGTTGCACATTTGAGCTGTTTTAGTATTTTTTTTTAATCCAAACCAAAGCTACCAAGAATATCATAGTGCACAAACCTTGGTTATATTCAAGATTATTTTCTGAACAAACACTGTTAAAAGTTTAGTTGAAGGGTCGTACAATATGGGATGTTTAAAAGAGTTTCTTTTTTTTTTTTTGGTTCATTAACAAGTGACCATTCATAAAAATAGTAGCAGTTTCCACTCATTAGCTACAGAAATGTTGAGAGTGCAACTGGACACCTGGACAATTTTTGAGACTTATAATCACTTCCATATTCTTCTTTTTTTCTTCCCCCAACCCTCTTCCATACTCTTCTAATATTTTATCAGCATAATTGGTGATATTAGATTTTTATTTATTTTGAACATTTATATTTATGTTAATAATACATTATCATAATAAAACCATTTTTGAAAAATATTGGCAAGGAAAAAGTCAAAATCACTTATGATTCTACCACTTGACAAAAGAAAAAACACCTTGGAAGTATTTGAGACATGTGCATAAATAGCTAATACCTCCCAAAATATAATATAGAATGTGTGTTTCATTGTGGGATATTTTTACCATAACTGATTTTATTATCTTTCCAAAATATTAAATATTCTACTACAATTTTGTTTTTACTTAATGTTTCATCTTATGGAAGAGCTATGGTTTCTAAAACCCAGCCCCCTGATATATTTTTAGATAGTTCTAGCTTTTTCCCAGTAAGATTAACTCTACAAGGAACACATTTGTAGGTGAATGTTTGCTGGCATCTAGGGATATTTAATTGCCTTATATACTGAGCTGTCTGTTGCCAAATGCTGCTTCTATAAAGTTTATGCCCATCAACAATACAAGAGAGTGCTTATTTCCTTGGTCGTCATCTTAAGTTAGTAAGTTTTTTAAGTTATAAGAAATTAGTGAGACTTGTGGCTTTTAAAACTTATGTCATTTCACAAGTACATTGCTTTTAAAAGACATGCACATTATATATAAACAACACTTTAAACAGACTTTATACCTTTGCAGTCTTTAGAATCAAACTGAATGTATTCTATACTAAATGTCTATTTTATATATTCATATTTGAATTCTATGAAAATTTTCTTTTTAGCATAGTGTAACTACATTTAAAACATCCTTTGCTATTCAATATTCTCCCACAACTCGCTGCCATTGTATAGGTGGATCAGAATTGTTTTTAAATGATTTCTTCAGTCAGGCATGGTGGCTCACGCCTATAATCTAACACTTTGGGAGGCCGAGGTGAGAGGATTGCCTGAGCTCCCGGGTTCAAGCTCAGCCTGGGCAACTTGGCGAGACCTCACCTCTACAATAAATAAAAAAATTAACCGGGCATAATGGCATGTGCCTGTAGTTCCAGCTTCTTTGGAAGACTGATGCGGAAGGATCACCTGAACCCAGCAGGCTGAGGCTGCGGTGGCCATAAGCAGCATGCCACTGTACTACAGCATGGGCTAAAAAGTGAGTCTGACTCAAAAAAAATTATTTCTTCACTTGGGACTTTCAAGTAGTTTCTAAATTTTTCCCAGAAATCTAAATCTGTGTAGAATAATTTTTTTAGGAGCATTCTTGTATTATTTACTTCAGGTAAGTGCCTAAAAGTGAAATTGAATAGTAGAGGCATTTTAATGTCCTTCAACTGTACCATCAGGTAGCCTGGATATACCAATTTATATTTCCCCAGCACTTTAGAGAATGCTCATTTTCTATACAAGTTCTTCAGGTATTATAAACTTTATTCTTTGCCAATATCTTGCTAGAAAAACCAGACCACGGTTTTTTTCAATTAGAAAAAGTTGGCCGGGTTCTTTGGCTCAGCCTATAATCCCAGCACTTTGGGAGGCTGAGGTGAGTGGATTGCCTGAGTCTGTGGGTTCAAGACCAGCCCGGGCAACTTGGTGAGACCTTGTCTCTACAACAAATCAAAAATTAGCTGGGCGTGGTCGTGCATGCCTGTAGTTCCAGCTACTTAAAAAACTGAGGCAGAAGGATCACTGGAGTCCAGAAGGTCGAGAATGCAGTGGCCGTGAGTGTGCCACTGCACTCCAGCCTGGGCTATGGAGTGAGACTCCAAAAAAAAAAAAAAAAAAAAAAAGATTTGTTTTACTTGCTGTTCAAATAATATAAGTTCATTTTTAAAAATTAAATAGCTTTAGTAGAAAAAATTAAATTCACTAATTCTTTTATTTATATATAACAATTGTCAACCTTTTCGTGTATGTTATAGATTTATCTTTATAGGTTTCATTTTCATTTTGCTTCCTATTTTGATGAACTTGAGTGTTTGTTGTTTTTGGTGTTTCCTCATTCAAACCAAAGCTGCAAAGAATATTTTAATGTACAAATTATTGTCTTCATTCAGCATTATTTACCAAACAAACATTCCTTTTTTGTTTTACTTTTTCTACTATTCCCAGACTTTATTACCAATTGGAATACAGTGAGTTACATTGGAGAATGTGTACCTGAAATTTATCTGCTGAATACAGTGAAAGCATATCCATTATCTGAGAAAACTTGAAGTGTCTTTTTCAGAATCTGCCAAGCAAACATTCTTATAAACAAATTTAGAGTATCCCATTGCTGTTATATAATAATATATGATTTTAATTTTTACACATTTGTCATTGAATAGATGATAAAAGTTTATTTTAAAAATATCAGCAATTTATGATTATAAGGAAAGAAATTTAAAAGTATAACCCTATTCTTACTGCTGCTTTTAATATTTTTGACTTGTACATTTCCAGGAAAATATATATATTTAAAATTGTATATAATACATATATATTATTACATATATTTATATATAAATAAGTCATTCTTTACATTGCTTTAGAATATTTAATAATAAACCTCTGATATTTTCATATTTTTTTTACACCATTTAAAATAGTCTTTGAACGTTTACTGTGCATATGGATTGACTCATTTCTTCATTTCTACATTTTTCAGAAATTTTTTTCTTTTCAATTTTCCTTTAGTTTCAGAAACTGTATTGACTATCGTTTACCTAAATTCACAGTCACATCCATAATTGTTTTAAAAAAAAAAGCTTCCAGAAGAAAAATAAGAGAAATTGCTGAGTATTTTTAAGAATTTATGCTTTGCAGTCAAATTTCCACTTATAAAGTTGTGTCAACTTATATTGTTCCACTCTAAAAGGGTACTCAGCGCTTTGCAAAAGGCTCTGAACTGGATATACAACTTTATTTTAATTTTGCTGTGTTTCCAATGGATAAAAA